AGTACTTTTTTCCTAATATTTGCTTTTTGATAGCAGGGGGAAATATAATCTGCGATATGGCTCAGTGAGGAAACTGAAGGCATACAACATGATTTATTTCTCATAATGGTTAAATACATCTCCAGTCTTTATCTTGGTCATGAACTGCATCACAAATAACTCCATTATATTTACAGTATATTACAGGTGGGAAGTTGGTAAGGAATTAGCCCCTGTCGTTTAACCAGCGTCATGTTGACATGTCAACTGTTGTCAACATTCTAAGCATGCCAAAGCAACTTCTGGTGAGAAGGAGCAGCTGGCAGCACCATGTGTGTCCCAGGAGGCATGTGCTGTCCATATATTCCCGTTGAGTAAGCAGTGACTGAACCTACAATGCAGAAGAGTTTAGCATACAGAATTAAAATAAATAAAAAGAACATTTGTCGAGTGTAATCAACTTTTCCTAAATTGATTTCAGAGGCTATGATTGTAACAGTGGAGCTTATCAGGACACACACGCTGCTGAACGTATTGTTTTACAGACCTCTGATTAAGAAAGGTTATTATCTAATAAACCAAACATATATTTTAAACTATGTTGTCTGATGAAGGTTTTATGATTGGAGACTTGATTGTTTTTCCTTTTAATGGTAACATTTAGAGACAAATACAAGCATGGAAATGTATTGTTTTATAAAGCTCACTAAAAGATAATGCTGTCAGACTTCCTTGTATGGTAGCGCCAGAGCTTATCACCGGTGTCACAACCAGTGTCATTGTACACGTTGCTGTTATTCATTTCAACCAAAGCATCTGTTGAAGCTAAAGATAAATGCCCTTTCACTGTTTTGTAATTACTAATACGGATTCTGACTTAATTTTTAGCACTTACCTCATGATAACAGATTCACTGTATGTTACTTTTAAAGGAGGGGGTTATTGTGTGGCAGATTACTCATCACACTGTAAATACATCAACCATAACGGATGATGAAGCCAAGCTGTCTGTGGGTGGTTAGTGTGAAAAATGTATTTTTCCAGTTCTGATTCTTCGAGTTAATAACCCCCACCTTCAACCACCACCATCACACTATGCAGCTCCGCTCTACAGAGAATATTTGATCCTGTTTTTCATTGCTTTGTGCCTCTATTAATCATCTCCAAGTAGACGACTTTCATTATCGAGGCACTCAAATGCAATTTACGGCCTCTTTGGGTTTATGATGTGACATGCATATGCGTGTTATGCTTCTATACAGCGCTTCAATTGGCATACAAGGTTGTTAAAATATCACCATGTGATACACCAGTGGTCAGAAGGATGCCAGTAACTGTGCGTAGTTTCTACTTTACTGTGATTGGCGTAAGGGAAGATTATGCTGCTGGGTTTAGCATTTATAGCAGAGAAGAAAATGGAAGGGGAGAGGAGGAACACGTGCAAGGCAAACAGCAGAGTGAACGAATAACACTCACATGGGCTTTCACATGTTCTCCTCTGAACATGTACAGATAGACCCATACTTTGATTTCCTTTTTTCCCTACATATTCTCAGAAATTGCAGTAGAGAATTCAAGCAGATATTATTCCCTGAAAAGAATCAAAATACACACATTCAGATTTTGGATTCACAGTCAGGATAAGTAGTTATACGGCTGTGAGGCTGTGTGCTGCGGAGGGAGCCAGATTAGCATCAGAGCAGTTGGAATTCAAGCCTTATCTCTGCTCGGCAGGACCCTCTCTCAGGAACAGAAGATGAGCTGGCCCTCGGTACGGAGCGCCAGGGGACAAACACTGCTCCCTCTGTTATGCTCTGCTTAACAACTCGATTAGCATGGTGTTCAGGTCGGTCCGACTTGGTTAGCATAAACCAACCTGCTGCAGTTCTCTGTTATGCTTTCATATCAGGACTCTAATAACAACACTGCCTCAGCAGCACAGAAATGTACATTATATGGGAAAGCCAGAATTGACATCCAAACGTAACACGGAGCAATGACCTACATGTCTCAATGCAAATTCAATATTTGAAAACAAATAGATTTAAGACACGTTTTGACTTGAGCTTCCCAGAGGGATGCTTATAATTAGTCATTCATTTAATTACACATTATTTACAAGCAAAGCTATATATGACAGCCCATACATTTAATCTAGCTGTATTTCATATCAAATCTGAGTTTTTAGTTATTTTTTCTAAATGTATTTATCAATTGTTTATGATTTATTCTGCTGCTGGAAAGAAACAACACCGTTTTCCTGGGATAGAAAGACACACAGCTGATAGAATCAACAAAGAATATGGAGGAAGGAAGCATGGTAGAAAATAAGGTTATGTGTTTGGTAGTGATATTTAACAGGAACCCTCTCTAAACACACCCCTCTGACACCCTAGAAAAGGCAGTTGTTCCACTCAGCTGTCTACAGTGCAGAACCATTTCTGAGAGCCTGCTTTCTGAGCTCATGTCTGATCTTGCCCTCAGGAAACACACACACACACACACACACACACACACACACACACACACACACACACACACACACACACACACACACACACACACGCACACAGAGAGAGAGGCGGAGTGACAAAGTTAAAAAGAGGCTTTCTCTTATAGCTTCCAGTAAACACTGATAAGCTCAGGCTGTACCCTTGGAAGAGCTCTTTCCAACACACAAACATCCCCGTGTTACGGTCAGCAAGTTGTTTCTCTAACATCAGAGGGCAAAAATATATCTGTGAGGGTTGAGCCTCTGTTGGTCTTCCTGCTGTGTACCACCCTCACTGGGCCTCATTCCCACATGATTCACTCATGTTAACATAAGCGCTCTGCTTCTTGTCTTCTCATGCCTATGAAACATTTCCAGCTGAACTGTGAGCAACAGCTAGGAGGCAGCTATGACAAGTGAGCACGGCTTCTCACATTAATCAGAAGCAGCATATTGTTGAGGTGGCAGCAACACAAAGTGTCGTGCATTTCTGTTGCCTAACAGTTTTACTTTGGGTTCGCACAGCATGTATTTTCCCTTTGTTTAATAGTCATCTTCAGTCATAACACCATGTTGTGCGTCAAACCCACTTATTATCACTGCTTGTTGCTGTTCAGTATTCTTAGGTGAGAAAGTATTACTCTGTAAGAAAAACCATTTAACCATGTTTAAGTGCAGGACGGTTACAGAGATATCTAATACATATGTTCTCTTTTTGAATATTATATAACGCAGTGGTTTGTAGCGCAGGCAATCGGGCCTTAAAGGAACAGTTCAACATTTTGAGGAATAGGCTTATCTGCTCTCATGCCAGGACTGAAAGGAACATGTTAATACAACTCAGATGTCTCAATATATGTCCCTGGAAATGGAGGCCCTGAAGCAGACTTACGTTTGCAAATCAAAGACAATTTTCTGTTTGACATGCCTATTTTTCGGCACTACTTTCATGGAGTCTCTGCTGGTTAACTGTCAACTGTTTATACTAAGCTAACTTAACCTGTAGCAAATCCATACATGCAGCACAGACCTATCAATCAAGATGACACTTTTCTTCTTTATGTTAGCTAGTTTTCTCAAATGTGGAACTGTCCCTTAAAAGTGAGTTAAACTGTAGTATTATATTCTGGAAGTATTCATGCTGCCTCATGGTCCTTTTGTAGGGTGTAGTTGGAAAGGGGGGTGTGGGAATTTCACACATGGCCCATGTAGTATAAATATACATGCACACAAACTGAGGGACTACACACAGGAATACACATACACCACAATGTAGACCCATGTTCCCATTTCCCAAAACATTTCTCTCTGTTCAGCCTGTTGTGTCTTCCATATTCTCTCCCCCCTCCTCACCTCCAAATCCCTATCTCCCCTCATCCATGTTTACAAGTCTCAGGGGGCCAAGGGGTGCCTGTGAGGGGCTAGTTAAAGAACGTGGCATGCTAATGGTTTGGAAAAGGATATGAATAGAGGGGCGTCTGGAAGGCAGCCATAGCTGAAATGACACACACATACAGACGAAGACACAAGCACTTTCATTATGGCCGCCACTCGCTTTCTATTTTATGTGCTCAACCTCGCACATCTGTGTGTGATTAGATTTTGTTTAGGCTTCTCGTGTTACTCCCAAAATATTGCTGTGTTGGCTGAACTCCAGAATGAATGGGCCACCTTTATTGTCTGTGGTTCACTCCCAACTTTTCCCTTCTGAGGTATGCACCGAATAGTCCTCTGCTTTGTGTTTTGTGTCTGCTTTAGGAAATATATTTAGGATTTAGTCACTTTTTTTTCTCCATGACACTTGGTAATGAGAGTACTTGGAAATGTTTCTGGCTGTGGTTTTGTTTTGGCAATCCACATGTCATTTCACAATATTCAACTCTTTCACAGCTGGACGGAAATCGGTATGTCTCGCTGCTCTGCCACAGATGTTGCCCTTTCTTTAGAAGTTGAACATAACATCCTTTCTCTTCCTCTCTGCCTTCAGGACCTGTCCTGCATTGATGACCTCTCTACAAACTCCCTGTTCTCCTCTCCGGCTGACTCGCTGTCGGAGTATGCTGATGCACAACCCTTCATCAGCCCAGACAACCTGAACACAGTGCCCACCCTCTGGGACGTCAACACTAGTACCACCACCACACCAGCACAGAGCCAGCTAGAGGTCAGTAGCCAGCACCCACTCACACATCACCCAAAACACTCTTGTCCCTTTTCTCTGTAAACATTCGTGCTGTTCTGGCTCTCTGCAACCTTTCACTCTGATGTGGGACTTTTATGGTGTAGCTGGGTTCATGTTCATTCTTTTGAAAAAAACGAAATAGGCCAACACCAGTCACATCACAAAACCCCGGCACCAGTGCAGTCTTTTGATAGAAAACAGTTTAATACATATTTGTATCACACAGTGCAGCAGTCACGTGGTACCATCGCTGAACAACAGATGTTCTGCTTGTTATCGACATTAGTTGCCGAATGGATTTTAGCCAATTTGTATCAATTATCTACTTGGGAAGTAATTAATTGCCACAATCAGTTAATGTATGTTTTAACCATGGCTAATGCTCTGCATCCTCAAATAACCTATTTAGCCATTAGACCACACGAAAAAGACACTACTAAACCAATGCAGCCTTATTTAGCTTTTATGTTAGTGCTACACTTCTATTTGGACTTCTCCACAGCAAATTGGACACAAGAAGAAGAAAAATAGTATCTTAAAATTAAAAATATGATTCTTACTGCCTCAATGCAATTCTGCACACACAAACAGATCAATAGACAACAATGAGACTTGGAATTGGGTCACTAGACTGTAAATAGGTATTACTTTGATCAGTTATTGCACACACTCAAGTTTGAGTCATCCAGTATTCTCAAAAAGTAAATCCTATACTATATTGAATGAATGTTACCATTTGTAACAAGCTATATTGATATTTCAGGCATGGTCACATAAACACTATACAGACATTTTGAAGCCGTTCACCAGATTAGCCCCCGCTACAGAGACTCGTATGAGACTTGAAATGATAGCCGTCATTGTTTTGGATTGATTGTCCCTCAGTGTAGTTTATCATGATCTTAGAGTCAGTGATTTGAGGAAAGCGACTTTGTTGAGTGTTATTTCTTTATCCCTGCTTGGTTGCTGTTGAGCCCTCTTTGACTCAGAGGGTTCAGGGATATCTTTGTGATATGAATCAGAGCTCATTCATTCCTTCTGCCTTCTGAAAGCCTTTTATATTTTCCTTTTCATTCTGCCCTAATTCCATCCATTATGTTTCCCACACACACACGGCTTTATCTGCCTTTTGTTGTTGTTGTTGTTGGCTTTTCACCGCCTGACAACAAATTGCATTTTCTTGAGTGCTGCTCCATCCGACATCTATGAAGCGCCCACATTCACTTATGCACATTCATATATACACGCACTCCATATTCAAGGATTATTCATGTTTTTGTGTTACTCTTTTCTTATGCATTGTGCACTGTTTTCATTTGTGTTTCTTCATTTCATTTCATTGTTGACAGCAGAATGGCACCAGCAGGTTTCATGGCTTGGCCAGTTTGGATGATATACATGCTATTATCAGCACCCCACCCTTAGGAGGATTCCAGGTAGCCACACCAACCCCTCTAATCGGATCTGTTATTAACCTGGGTTTAAGGCTTAGACTGTTTTTCATATCAACATAAAAAGCCACTAGTCTAACGCTGAGGGTCACATTTTGACAGTATTTAAAGCTACTTGCATGTTAAGAGTTATAGTGTAAGTGTGCATTCTCTGTATTACCACAGATGATGAAAGCATTGCTGCATATTGCATGGTTTGGACATTCTGCCAATGCACCTAGAGAATGGACTATTCCATAATACTGCATTGTCTTTTCCAATAGTTGATGTGACAATACAAAGAGACAGTGTAATATTAACCTGTCAAAATGGGACCCTTTTGCATTTCCAGCTTCTCAGATAACATTGCTGGATGTTGCCTGAATATGTAAAGCATTCTTTTATCTGCAGCTACAAACATGTTTCAAAGCTCTCATTCATTCTGCACCTTTCAGCTTTATCTGTTATTTCACTGTTGCCCTGGTTACCATGCCCTGATAAGGGGTTTTAAATGTGCTGCGCTAACCTCTCTGCTAACAGCTGACCTGCCTCTATCTTTCAGCTACTGTGTCTTTCCTTACTCGCTGAAACGAGAAGCATAACTCCCATATGTGGTTTTCATTAACGTGAAACACATACTCACCTTTTTGTATTTTGTTTGCCCAGCCTCAGAGAACACAGCCGCCCCCAGAGGAAGAAGAGGATGCTGAGGAAGAAGAGACTGATGAACTGGGACATGTAGACACATATGCTGAGTACAAACCCTCCAAATGTAGGTTACTAGACTGAATGCCGAACATGAAGAAAATATAAAATAAATAAATAAACATGAAGTTCATTTTTAATGTATCTACAGTGTTCTGCTTAAAGAGGCCATATTATGCTTTTTTTTTTCACTTGTAGAGTGTCCTGTAGTTTGTTATAAAGGTAATGAGAGAGGTGTGCAAAGGCTAAAATCCTAAAGTTGAATCTCTCCCAGACACTCCCCCACTGCCGGGAACGTCTCCATTGGACTCCTTTTATTTACTTCTGTAGCATAGTGACATCACTGTGTAATACTCCTGCTTTTATTGGCTAGCAATCCAACACATTGAATTGATTTGCTAGGGGCAGTACATTTCCCACACTTCTCTAGGCGGTTCACCAATCACAACACAGCCAGCCAGATAATAACCAATCAGAGCAGACTCTTTCAGACGGAGGGTGGAAAGAGGTGCTGCAGCACAGGCAGTATGAGAACAATAAAGAGCCTTTTGAACATTAAAGCATGGAGACATGTCCCAGTAAAGGCACAACATATATGAACCTGAAAATAAGCATGATAGGGTCCCTTAAAAAACAGGACACTTTTCACATTATGGATTTATCATTCATGTTTGTAAACTGTTCCCCTATTTAAACTGCTGTTTTCCTTTTTCTAGCCACTATAGGAATTTCTCATCCTGACATAGTGGTGGAGACCAGCACTCTGTCCAGTGTCCCTCCTCCTGACATCACATACACTCTGTCTATCCCTGAGCTAACTGTCAGCGGGGGCCTGCTGTCCGCTCTGCAGCTAGAGGCTATTATCTACGCCTGCCAGGTACACACACACACACTGCATGTAGCAATTATTCATTCTCTAACTGTGATGGCTAACGTTTTATTGCCCATGCATCTTTGTTTATATATTTGCTCTTTGTGCACCCTCAGCAACACGAAGTTATCCTGCAGAACAACCAGAGGGCGGGCTTCCTGATCGGAGATGGGGCCGGGGTTGGAAAGGGACGCACTGTGGCAGGAATCATCCTGGAGAACTACAATAAGGGAAGGAAGAAAGCACTATGGTAAGAGAGAATTACAACTCTGATTGACTCCAGAGTGGATACATGGAGCAGATCCCGACTGAATGAATGACTTTCCTGCTCCTGCCCTCAGGTTCAGCATATCCAATGACCTGAAATTTGATGCAGAGAGAGATCTCAAAGACATAAATGCATCATTTCTTCCTGTGCATGCCTTAAACAAGGTGAGTGTGATGAGTTAAGAGAATGACATCTGTTTTTGGCAACTGTTTAAATGATGCGTGTATCCAAGCAAATGAAACGAGCTGTGTTTGGAAACAGGGTAAATTAGCTCTGTATTTCACAAACGCTATCCTCTTTTGACTATTTGATTTGTTATTTTAGATTAAGTACGGAGACACAGCTACCTCAGAAGGAGTCCTATTTGCAACTTACTCTGCGCTGATCGGAGAGAGCCAGGCAGGAGGGCAGCACCGGACGAGAATCAAACAGATCCTGGACTGGTGCAAGCCAGACTTCGATGGAGTTGTATCCTTTCATTCAAAAGACCTCACTGAAATCTGACAGTTTTCAAACACGAAACGATATTCTACGTCTTTGTTGTTATGCCCTTGACATTTCCCCGTTACAGATCATCTTTGATGAATGCCACAAAGCCAAGAATGCCACATCTACAAAGATGGGCAAGGCAGTGCTTGACCTGCAAAACAAGCTGCCGCGGGCCAGAGTGGTGTATGCCAGTGCCACAGGTAGGCAGACGCATAAATAATCACACAATCTTACATGTGCATGTGTAATGCAATATGAACAAGCATTTAAGAATACATCTTTTTTAAATCTTTGCCCCAGGTGCCTCTGAGCCAAAGAACATGATCTATATGAGCCGCCTGGGAATCTGGGGTGAGGGCACGCCCTTCAGAGCATTTGAAGACTTCCTGCATGCCATCGAGAAAAGGTTTGTAGGGTGACATGTTGCAGAAAGTGTTATGCGTTATCCCTGCCTTTCAATCATGTTGATATATATCTTCAATGGCTGTGCCAACTGGCAAATCTCTTGCAATCAGTTTGTGGTTATAGCTGGTTGATCCCTGATTGTGTTGTGTTGAATCATTTATATGCTGTTCATAAACAGAGGTGTCGGTGCCATGGAGATCGTTGCCATGGACATGAAAGTGAGCGGGATGTACATTGCCAGGCAGCTGAGCTTCTCAGGGGTGTCTTTCCGCATTGAAGAGATCGGACTGGACAGTGACTTCAAAGTGGTCTATAACAAAGCTGCCCGACTGGTGAGCATCATGCCTGACTCTCTTCCATATCTGCAGCCTTTTGGTATTTCCTGCTAGATGAAACTATAACAATTGTGACTGTTCACATCTGTGTGCAGTGGGCAGAGGCTCTGCAGGTGTTCATGCGTGCAGCGGATGAGCTGGGCCTGGTCAGCAGGAAGTCTCTGTGGGGGCAGTTCTGGGCGTCTCACCAGCGCTTCTTCAAATACCTCTGTATTGCAGCCAAGGTGCGCTGCCTGGTGGAGCTGGCCAAGAAAGAGCTGCTGGCTGGAAAGGTCAGCACAACACACTGTCACACACTGAGTCATATAGTATATATAATCTAGAGGACTCTTCAATGGAAAGCCCAAGCAGGAAACACATCTCTGTAAATGTTGCTAAAGAAGGGAGAACTGCATAGAAATAAGTAAATAAGAGTTGTTTTAAAGTATTGTTAACCATGTTTTACACTTCCTTTTACACATGCTGAGTGGAATGCATTTAAGGATGTTAGAATATGTGCCATCATGATGCCAGGAACGAGTCCTCAATACTTCAAGTGACACAGCAGACCCGTTTATTGATGTGTATGTTTGTCACCTCAACCACAGTGCATCGTTATCGGGCTGCAGTCGACCGGAGAGTCTCGCACCAGAGAAGTCCTGGATGAGAACGACGGCCAGCTCGACAGATTTGTGTCTGCAGCAGAGTGAGTGAAAAGGACTATTTCCTCTGCATGTTTGTGTGTTTCTATAATATTAATCTTCTTATAAAGTTGTTTGAAAGAGTGTTGTTTATTAGAAAGAGCGTGTTTGTGTGTCTGTTTGGAAGCGATAGCAAACTGGGGGTTTCTTACATTTCATTTTGTTGCTTCATCAAAGTGATTTGCCAATATTGAGGCGAATACACCCTCAATACATACATTTGATATAAGAGCTAGTCAGCTTCAGGCTTTAGAAAGCTTGCCTTTAGGTGGCACATCAGATCATCTTTGTTACATAAATTCAGTCCTCACCATTTATCCTCAATAAAACAAAACAATCTCTGAGCCTTTGAGCAGCTATTTAATTATCGAACAACGTCAGTCCAGAATAACAAGTGAGGGAGGGTACATGTGATGAGCGCTCTGAACCGGTTCTACCCTGAACCTCTCAAAGTAGACATGCCTGAAGGTTTGAGGATATTAGACCACACACAACATGTTCGTCACCCTGTCAACAACTGACAGTATAATTAGGCCAGATCAGAAATGTATGCGGTGTCAAACTGCCACAACTGTCCTGTGTCGTCCGCTTTGCTGTCAGATTCAATGTTTTTCTCTTTTCCTCTTTCCTTTAGGGGAGTATTCCAGTCGCTTGTAACAAAACATTTCCCGTCAGAGAAACAGAGGAGAGAGAAAGCCCCGGGCCCAAAGAGAAAACGTAAGTGCCAGCATGTGTACTCTACATAGTATTAGAACAAATATGTTTTTTAACCTTGTGAATAGCCAGAACTCAGCAGACATGTCAGGAATTTGCCCTGCAGCCTAATTGACCAGTTAACAGTGTTGTTTGTTTGTATATACATGTATTTATGTGTTTCTGGCTGTTTGATTACCATCTGCCAGCTTTGATTGTCTGTCAAACCCAATTTTCTTGCATTATGCTTTTATTTCTTGGCCTCTCACTGAGTGTGAATACAAAAAGTCAAATATCTTAATACAAATTTTATCATTTAATAACATGATGTTTCCTCCAATCAGGGAAGCCCCCAAGGGGTCGCCATCCCAAGGTACCCAAGCACACGGTGGACAGCGGGGGTGTGATCAACATCAGCGACGACAGCAGCAGTGACTCCGACGGCATGGACACGGACTCCAACTCCTCACCAGACTCCCTGCTAGACAATGATGATGTCATTTTTGTTAACCACACTAGCCACCAGACAGGTAGGGAGATGTCATTTTCTCTGTAAGATATGTCAGCCTAAGTAGGTGTGTCCAGTGTTGATCAAATACTTGCATGTCTAGACAGAGAAACAAACCTTCTATAGCTTGTTGTTATTGTGACACTCAACTATTTGGTCAAATAGGTCTTACCTTCAGATTCTTAATCTAGCTTAAAGTTTTTATTTTTGTTTGTTCATTGTGTAAAAAAACACACATTTGTGGATAAAGGTTAGGCTACAGTCATTTCAGGAGTATTATACCATCTGTAGAATAAGATTTTAAATAACTCTAAAACGTTGCCAAGTCCACAAGTCTTTTTTCTTTTAAGTAGATTGTTTCCCATTCACATCAGCCTTCTCACTTGAGCCACAAAACGTTTTGCTGTCCTTCTAGCTGCACACAGCGGGAGGGACGCACCTTTGTAGTAACTTAGTAAAACCATGAATGAAATGTGTATATAAGGAGTCAGCATGTCGTTGTATCCCTGTGAAAGACACTATACCCCAAATTGCCCACAGTATTGAATTTATATAATTCGCTTTGGATAAAAGTGTCTAACAAGTGACATGTAATATAACTACAATGACAACCTTTGGACGTCAGGGTTACATGGTTAATTTCCTCTTTGCTTCCTGTTCACAGCCAGGATAGAGGAGATGAAGCAGGGGCTCCTCAGTAAAATATCCGTGCTGGGAAAAGAACTACCTCTCAACACCTTGGACGAGCTCATCGATAAGTTTGGAGGACCAGATCAAGTCTCAGAGGTAAGAGCCAAAGCAAAGAACGATAAACGACCACGCTGTGTGTTTCTAATGAGCCTAAATGGTTTCACTGTCTCCACTTAAATCAATGTATTATTTATTTACTTGACATCGTGATGAATTTTTTTTCCCGCAGATGACTGGTCGCAAGGGTCGTGTGGTGCGGCGTCCTGATGGCAGCGTCCGCTACGAGTCTCGGGCTGAGCAGGGTCTGACCATCGACCACATCAACATCAAGGAGAAAGATCGCTTCATGAGTGCAGAGAAGGTCAGCAACCCCAATCAATCAAGGAGAAATAGGTCCTTCATGTGACATTTCATGACTTGGCTGCTAACATTCTGTATCTTAAAGGTCACCTATTATGCAAAATCCACTTTTTCATGTCTTTTATACATCAACATGTGTCCCCTCTGTGTAAAGAGATTCTGAAAGTTTCAGGAAAAAAGATTCGCTCACTTTTTGTCCTGATCCATTTATATAAAAACCTGTTTGAAAATGAGCTTATTAGATTTTGACCACTTTATGATGTCATAACGATGTTTTGGCTTGTGTGACCATTAGCCAATCACCANGAGAAGGAGCAGCTGGCAGCACCATGTGTGTCCCAGGAGGCATGTGCTGTCCCTATATTCCCGTTGAGTAAGCAGTGACTGAACCTACAATGCAGAAGACTCTTCTGCATTGTAGGTTCAGTCACTGCTTACTCAACGGGAATATAGGGACAGCACATGCCTCCTGGGACACACATGGTGCTGCCAGCTGCTCCTTCTCACCAGAAGTTGCTTTGGCATGCTTAGAATGTTGACAACAGTTGACATGTCAACATGACGCTGGTTAAACGACAGGGGCTAATTCCTTACCAACTTCCCACCTGTAATATACTGTAAATATAATGGAGTTATTTGTGATGCAGTTCATGACCAAGATAAAGACTGGAGATATATTTAACCATTATGAGAAATCAATTATGTTGTATGCCTTTAGTTTAAAAGTACTGTATCTAGTCCTAGGCCACTTCCTGTTAAACTCAATAACCTGCGTTTGGGCAGGGCCAGGGCAGGGGCCAGGCCGCGGCCCCAGGCAGGCCAGGCCCTGGGCTTTCCCCTCCTCCACACTGCCAGCTTTTCCAAGGCCAGGAAACAACTCACCCTGTCCTCCCACCTACCCCACACGCCCACATAGACAAACACACACCTCAAATAACCTCATGATATGTTTCTGTCATCTCTTTCTTATTTTCCCTAGTGTTTTAAACTCCATCCCCCTTGTTTCCCATCCCTCTCTGTCCCCTTTCTCCCTGCACGTTCAGCCTCTCTTTTTGTGTTTATTGTAGTTTTGTTTTCCCACAGTATTCTGCAAGACCAGGAAGAGGATCTCATTAACCCAACACTTATCTGTATCAACATCCTTTTTGGTAGATATTGTCAGTCACATAGATCAATCAGGACAAAAATGGCCTTATGTTAAAAGCACCATTATGCCACTAAGGATGAAGAGAAATGTAAATGTAAATGTGTGCCTTTTGTACAATGCAGTGTGTACTGATATAGGCAAACTAAAATCTAAAAGCAAAAATGTTAGAAGTCCAGTGGCGTCTTAGAGCAGCAACTGCTTTCCCAATCGGCCTTTTTATGTTAATGTACCATTGCTCTTGACTATAATGTAGGTAGTCAAAACGACAGTGTGTATCCTAGTGTAACACAGCGAAATAAAGAAATAGAGTGGTATTAAACCACCCACCCCACACTTGATCAGCTGACTAAAACAACCCCCACCCCAGACCCTCCATTCTGGGGTCAGCTGTTAACCTTGTCCATGCTATCAACAGAACCTGATTGATGGACGTACACGTGTGTGTGTGTGTGTGTGTGTGTGTGTGTGTGTGTGTGTGTGTGTGTGTGTGTGTGTGTGTGTGTGTGTGTGTGTGTGTGTGTGTGTGTGTGTGTGTGTGTGTGTGTGTGTGTGTGTGTGTGTGTGTGTGTGTGTGTGTGTGTGTGTGTGTGTGTGTGTGTGTGTGTGTGTGTGTGTGTGTGTGTGGTCAGGCTTTAAGGCCTCCACTGGTATCTCTCAGTCTGGGGTATGTTATGCTAAGCTGTATGCATGTCCTTCAACTCTGATATATCTATTAGGCTGTGACTTTAATAGCACTGCTCTAAGCTTTTCTGTTTCCTTGAAACAGACATGAAATATTTCCAAAAGCACTTCTTTGATAGATGTGTTTTTGAGTAAACTGGTAGCAATTGCACTTCTTTCAAATTAGGTATTCAATCAACCTGCAATGGTGTTTTGTGAAAAGTAGAAAACCTCTTTGTATCCTCAATTGACTCTCGAAGACATGCAGACATAAATCAGGATCAAGAGTCCAATTTGTCCAAAAGCCATTGTGTTTTTATGAGAACACCTGGAATGGTTTAAATCTTGTTTTTGACCCTTTAGTCACATAGCCTGCAGCCAAAAGATACATTTGAACACTTTTTAAAGTCCATCACAGATAATTCAAAGTCTCAGGCCTAGAGAACGGTCGTCACAGCTTCAGTTGTTTCACTAAGCACAAAGAGCTCCACTCAGCACCCCGCCAAGCCAAAGATGATTTTAAAAGGCCTCTGACAATATTATTTAATACCCAGGTTGACTTTTCTTGACATCTGTGCTGAAATGTTAGTCTAAGAAATAAAAGAGATTAACAATGTTCAATGTATTTACACTTGAATGATTATAGGGTCAAAAGTAAATGATCATGTCATGTTTGTCTAGCCCACAGACAGCCAAGTCTCGCCTATCCCTGACCGACTATTCAATGCTAATCGAGGCAGCATTGCCCGTCCAGCAACCTCATGACAGGCAAGTCTTCATGTCCTGCCAAGTCTGAGTAAAGTGAGCCATGAACTGTTGCTGCTTACAAACGCTTGGAACTTTCCAGTGTTTTCATATGTTCTGGAAAATAAAAGGATGTCATGTCAATGTTCCCAGCTAGCAGCCGAATGACGGTGCTGGTTCAAAGAACAGTTATTTGTTCATGTGGAAGAGCTTTAAACTTCCACTGAGCCGACTACTAGAAACAAGGCAAACAGGCTCCAATATGCACAATGTGCTGCCAGCAAATACAACTAAATAAAAGTCTGGCAAATTCAGATTCTTGTTCAAGTACAAAAAGTAGCACAAGATGGTAAATAACAAGAGAACAGAGGAAAGAGAGAGAGAGAGAGAAGCAGTGAGAGAGATTTCATGGGGTGGGTGCAAAGAGGAAGTCAACCACAGAAGGGTGCCATGATGAAAAGCCAATAGACAAATAAGAATGAAAAAATATGGTGGGTTTTGGAGAAGAATTGCAATCACCAAAAAAAAGGGCACAAAAGTACACACAGTCTCAATCTACGTGCGTGTATGTGTGATGACCTGCATGAGCTTGCGTCTTCAGTGCAGAGGAAAGTAGGTGTGAGGGGAGTCTTGACGCAAGATGACGTCTGAGTTATGAAGAAATGTCAACATACCACACAACCCTTGCAACAGGGGCTGTCATTTCCTACAGGCACATGGGACATCCCTAAAGAATCACTCAGAATGTTGATACATTCTGAGTGAGGTAATGACATTTCTCTCGGGAACACTTTATGCGTAAAATTGTATTATCTCTAGAGGACAAAAACATCTACCTATTAGGAGTTTTATTCCTCTAAACCAAGCCCTTTTAATGTCTTGAGTTCATTATCTGATGTTGATATCTGTGTGTTAATTAGTAGCATACAGCCTGAACTGAAGATGCTATTTGAAGTCTGAAATGACATTTGACTATATCCTATTGTTATGCTCTAGTGGGAAACCAATACTAAACAACAAGAAGGCTCAAAATTGTCTGAACGTCTAAAGTGTATATTCACAGCTTCTCGTATCACCCCAAATAACCTTGCTCTCTTTTGTCTCGTGTGTATGACACACACCCAGGCTTTCCCACACCTGCGGCCAGTGAACTACACGCTGTGACTCATGACGGTGGGCTTGTTGCCCGTAAGTTGCTAGTTTGTTTTTTAGCCAAGAATCTAACGTCTAGCAAGGGGATTGTATTTACTTTCATAACCCCGGGCTCATTGGCTGGGATCAAGTTCAACTTATCTTCACATTATGACGACTGCATGGTGGCTAGGAGACAAACACGCTTATATTATACAACAGTTAAAACCAATATTTACTCAATGTATTGAGAAAATTGGAAAGAGACACCCTGAACCAAAATGTAAATGACACCCAACGGTATAGGGACAGAAGAAGGATGGAGAGAGTAGTTTAACGCTTAACACCATTCAGCTACAGGTTACTAGTTTGTTGGTGACACATATTAATACAAACTAGAATGTATTAAATTCTATCTCAAATAAAAGTTAAAAAAAGGAAAACAAAAAGGCATAAAGGGCTGTTAAGTGAAATGCTACCGTTTTGCCAAGACTACTCACTGGTGCAAAGAAACTGCAATTACCGGTATTCATTACCAGTAAAACTAGATGATCCGTGAACCTGAAATGTAATATTCGTACCCTACTGCAGCTGCTGCCCAGCTTTCTGAATACATTCAGACCTGACAGATTTACTGCACCTTGTTTCCTGCATGAACTGTTTTAACAGTCGGGAATAATTATCCAGAATACCACCCTGTATTTTCACCTAGCACCCCCATGAATTATTCCACTGTTGCAATTACACATGGCAGATAAGCAAGACGGCAACATGTAATCTCTATTTTGAGCGTAGCAACCTGCATTACTGGCATCCACTCATCATCACTCCATCCCCCATGCTCTCACCCATCCTCACAATCATTTATTCACATCTCATAAACTGCACACCTAGGTCATGCTTTAAATTTAACGTATTACAAATACTTTCCCACCAAGAGGCTTCCGTGCGGCACCCCTCGTTTTTCCAGCCAAAATTCACAAATGTTGAAGTTTGTCTTAAAACAGTGCTCAGGATATTTGCCCTAAAAAGACTGTAGATCTGGATCAAACCATCTAACTCAGACGGCTGGAGACTCATAGAAGCTTCTGATCAACTTTGGAATAAATTACCACCCCATCTGTTGGTATCGCTTCCGAAAAGTATCTCTAAATGATTGGTATTAACATGAGAAATAAAACATCGTTCAATGTTCATATCTGCCTTTTTATGTACAAACTGGGACAAGAGAAGAAAATGGTCTACGGGATAAAGTCTGCGCAAATGGAAGAAACATTAAAAAACTGTCCATCTTCAGGTTGCTGTGTACTAGACAAAACACATTGTTCAGGGAAAAACCGACTCGACGCCCCCGATTGTGTAATTTCACTGATTTCTGTGAGGAATATAAATGCTGACGTTGTGGGATTAGCCAAACAATTTAAATCAGAGATTCAGTGGAAATGTGCAAGACTCACACCAATGAGCATATCGACAGACTAACATTATGTAGTCTAATATAGGACAAATAGAAAAAAAACTGTGCAGTGCTCCTTACAGTGCAATGCAACCGTGGCCATATTTAATAGCCATCAAGTAAACAGACAAAAGTGCTATTTAGCCTGACATGATATCAGGTTCTCACACTTACTGGAAGACAGCAAGGAAGGAGTGAGACGGACAATCATTTGTCACAGTTCCTGGCTGGGAAGGAGAGCATCAAAGACGTAATGTGTGACTGACTGGCAACTCTGGTGTGCCAGCATGGAAATGTACTGCCTGACTTGATGATGGACAAAAGCAAACTGGGAATAGAGAGCCCAAATCCCAACCATTGATTAGCTTTTTTAGCATACCTCTTGTTCATAAACAGCAGACAAGTAAGTGAAGTTTGCAGAAAAGGAAATGAGGAGAGTATATTTTGTTTCCTGTGACAAGATTTAAGTCTTATTCTTCCGTAAGAATACATCCAAATGTAGATTTCTATTGAGCATTTTCCTTAGTCTATGACGTGGCTCAGTCTTTGTCCAGGAAACACGCCTTTGTAAGCACTGCCGGGAAACAAATTCAAAACCTTTTTTGAAATAGATTTTCATATTGTTTACTGAAGGTGTGTAACCTGCTCCTTGCAATTGAATCACGTGTTTATCCTTTGTTTTGTCAGACTAATTCAAATGACAAAACATAAATAAAAAAATAACTTGCCTTTCTACCATAAGTGTTACGATAATAAGGAAGTATATTATATAACAAAA